TAGTAATAGTAATAGTAATAGTAATAATAATAATAATAATAATAATAATAATAATAATAATCAGCCAGTTCGGTCTAGTGGTTAAAGCACCAGGCTAGAAAGCAGAAGGCTGTGAGTTCTAGTCCTGCTTTAGGCATGAAAGCCGTCTGGGTGACTCTGGGCCAGTCACTCTTTTTCAGCCCAACTCACCTCACAGGGTTGTTGTTGTGGGGAAAATAGAAGGAAGAAGGAGTATTAGGTATGTTCACTGCCTTGAGTTATTTATAAAAAGAATAAAGGCGGGATAAAAAATATCTAAATAGTAACAACAACAACAATAATAATAAATGATATAGTAATAATATATCTTATATATGTTTTCGCACATTTCTTAATTGGCCTTTGCTTTGAAAAGCATTCCAATTATACATCCATTTGTAACATGCTAAACTCTATTCACACTGAGCTCTCAGAATGAAATGTACAAAATCCATCCAGGCATGATTCTAGGCTTCTGGCTGGGAGGCCACCTTAAACCACACTTTATTTCCAAAGAAACAAAATATTGGCAGTGTGATAGCTGCTTTAAATCAGCTTCCTCCCCTCTGCTTAAGAAGTGACAGGGTTTCCTGGTGTTTCTCTAGGCTTAACCTCAAGGGCAGAGCCTTAGCTCAACAACTGAAACTATGGCTTAACTGTGCATTTCAAGGACAGTTAATACAGTAAATCATGTTGTGCTGTTCATGGTCAACATCAAAGATAATTAACAAGTAACTGAAAACTGTTTATATGCAAGAAATCCATAGGACTGTTAGTGAATTACTATTAACCTGGTTTACCCAGCTTTTCTCTAGCCTGATGCCCTTCAGAATTCTCAGCTATGGGGAATCTAGAAGCTGTAGTCCCAAGCAAATCTGCTGGGGAACTGAAATTATAGATGGATGGGGGGTTCTTAAGCTGTACATTGCTGACAAACCAACTGCACTATATTTTTAGTGAGAATTCTTACATCTGTTCAATCATTGAAACTATATTATCACGAGTATCTGAGGAGACACCTTCCCCGAAATATTTTCTTCTTCCACGTAAGGACTGATTTTATAACACTGTGGTTGTACAGTATATGCAGGTTTTAAAGATGATCCTGACAATATATGCAAATTCCTTCCCTTTTGAATAATATTATGCAAATTATTACTTTATTGCTCTCTATTCCACCCCATCAGCATAAATATACATCCTCAGCACAAATTGTTATATTGTTCTCATTATTAAGGTGCCCAGATGCAATTAACCACTCCTCATCTAGTCAGATTTCCAGATCACCTGGACCCATTTTATTTATAGTTGCTATTATTCAATTACTGTGATTTTATTTCTCTTAACTTGGCTAAGTTTTGTTTATCTATTTGTAAAAATACGCCATTCTTCGACCACACCAGTTTTGTCATTATTGGGCTTTACTGTGTTTTTTACTTGCTGTCTCAGAATTTGTTTTCTTTTTCTTTTTCGAGCAGGTCAGTGACTGTAATAAAGTAATATCCCTACTGCTATACTCTCAGGTAACTAAGAACACAAATCAGTAAAAGTGATTTATGAACTAGTCCAGACAAACAAGCACACACAACAAACCGAAAGAGCAGCAGCCCAGACAAAAAGTAAAAACTGCTCTAACTTAGATACGCTAAAACGAATCATTTTAACAAGCTGCTGAAATTATGTTCTGCTTGGTATTTCACTAACAGTAAGCAGGGTGCCAAGCAGGTCACCTCATTTCTGAAGGAAACAAGCAAAACCATAAAGAGCATAACTGGGATTCACGCAAAAGAGGAAACATGAATAGTATCAATTTAGTGATAACTACAGCACTGGTACAGAGCTAATCTTGTTGGGCTGGTACTCAGTTTCCCCCACTGTACACCCACAATAGGTCTGACCTCCCTCTCCCCCACATTTGCAATGAATCAAACTGACATCAGCAATAGGATGGAAATGATTTGTTCTGCGGGATGTCTTCCGTTGAACTTGCTCTCAGTCGCAACCTAGGAAAAATGCGGTGGAAAGTTTCATAGGCAACCCAACTGTGCTACCTGTCATAATACTTTCCATTCAATACGCTACCTGCTATTACAACAAATCGACGACACTTGCCATTTCATGACTTCCGTCATTCAGTTAGAAAATGAAAATAGGTCACTCTGTCATTCTGTCTCCTTCCTGATAATTATGGTTATTTAGCTTACAGGTAAACACTTACTACACAGAAAGTCTTTATGGGCAGAGAAAAAAATGATTTATCTGCAAAGCATTACAAATAAGCCATTTAGAGAAAACTTACTACCCAAAACCTATAATAAGGGAAGGCCTTCTTCAATCCTTGGGGACTTCATGGAAACAGCGATGAAGATTTCTTGGCAACATACCATTGGCTTCTTCTGGGATTTTCTGCTTTGATTTCCCAGTGCAACCTACAGCCCTGGATCTCTCCCATCCAAGCATTAACCAGCTTTCAAGCCCAGGCAAGGTGATCAGATGCTGCTACCTGATGAGATATCTGGCCTTATTCTTATGTATATAAGGGACTAGTTATGCACAGATTATTATTTCTGAGAAGAAAATGAGTGAGATCCCATTTCTGTTACCACTTAAATATGACTTCTTATTCATCACTGACAGTTTGATGGCTGTATACACATAGTAGGGAATGATTCAGTTTCTTGGCAGAACAACACACATTCTTTTCTCAGCTGTAGCTGTCCTCCATGTTTCATACCAATAGTTACTAATGCTTGCCTTTGTGCAGACCACTACATCATCTTTGAAAGCTTGTACGTCACCACGTAAGCCAGAGTCAACAATGTAGCATAAGCAGGTATCATGGTACATATGACCCCACCCAGATGTTTCCCATCTATCCATTTCATCTGTCCGGTCGATCATTTTCATCAATGTTAGCGCTCCTCCTGGTCACATCATTCTCACATGTTGCTTCGTTAGGAAGCAAGGATACAAATTGATCAATTAAAAATGAATTTGCATAGTTCCTATCCACTTCTTATTCTGCAAAAGCTATTTTTTACTTTTTGATTTTTCTATCATTAAATTACTATCAGAATTACTGTGCTAATTATGTGCTAAGGAGTTCGCATGATTACCAACATATTTTTCTCTTTTATGGTATAGATTATTGCTTCTCCATATAAGCACATGGATAAATCTGTATGTCTTTTGAACTTGAATGCTTATCTAGCTAATTGTTTGTGGATTTGAGTGAAATTTAATCTAACAGTTTCTCAAATTTAAAGGTAAATGTAGCAGTTCATCAAATTAATGAAACAGTAGTACATAAATCTGCTATTTGCATGCTAAACCTCAGTGAAAAGATCTCTCAATCTACATTTGACTAGACTGGCGAACACATGCAATTTTGTATCTGTGTGGTTCATAGAGGGGGCCTGGCAATTCTAACAGTTGACTAGAAGAATTCAGTTGCTCTTTGAAATTATTCATAATACCTACTCAATCCAGATGTCCATGCCATCTTTACTGCCATAACGCTTTTAGTTAGAGGTAGGAAAATATTTTCACAGCTACCTATCCAGGCTATTGTTGCCCATAAACCTCAGGCACCTGAGTTGGCATGGAGCTGGAAAGAACCCAGTGCCTGAATTTGAGAGCGAAACACCCAATACCTTTGCAAAGTAGCTCCCCCCTCCACACACAATACAAATCACAAGTACTTCAGGCAAAGCAAAAGGCATTTTATTAAAAGGGGGGAACAGGTCTTTATGTAGGGTACAGAAACAAATGATATGTACATTCGATATATGTGATGCATCAGAAAGCAACAAATCAAACAATAAAAGACATTGATTAGACGTGAGAAAAGACAGCCACTCTTAAAATACAGTATGTTGCATCTCCTTTTTTCCCACCTGGGTTTGTGTCTTTAACATTTGCAACACTCAAGGACTTCAGAATTCAGCCCTATTGTTTGACTGAAGGTCCCTGAAAGGGCTAGTTTTGCACATCAAAGGAAATGGCTTTGTCTCAAAGGAAAACATGGTTTCCAAAATTTCAAAAGGAGGCAGGGATGCCATGCTAAAATGCTAATATCACCTTTATTAAAATGCTAATAATAAAGCCTAAAATTCTACATAACAGTATCAAGACATGGCCTAGGTTTTTTTGTTTTTGTTTTTTTACATTAAATGGCTAATGCATTCTCAGGGGGTATTGGGGGCTAAATTGTTGGCTTGGATGTAAGCAACAACAGGTTCAAATTACTGATCATTATATTCACAGGTTAGCGATGCTTCCCTGGGCAAGTTGTCATCATACACTCAGTTGACAAAATCGTTGTGAGATTAAAATGCTACTGTAAGCAATTTGGAGGAAGAACAGTATACAAATGGAAGAAGTACAACTTTGCAATCTGCAGTGGCCTCAGACAAAAATTTATTTTACAGTGAATTGCAGAGAAGTTTTAATGACAGAGTTTATACAGGTGATGAGTATATGTTATGGTCTCTTAATACACCGATCATGAATGTATGCTAGCTTTCTAAATGGCTCTTTTTAACAATAGTATATCATCACAGAATATGTGGCTCACTGCCCATCACACTCCTCAAAGCTGATCAGGCAAACTTACAAACCATGCCATTATCCTGCATATCATCTATATTTTATTCAAACAAATCATTTGGTTTAAAACTTCTATATCCAGTAACCTTGTGGATTCCCCTTGATGTCCCCTTGTTTGTGTGAGACATAGTGCTACAAGGAAGTAGTAAAAAAAAAAAAAAAAAAGTCAGCCACAATTGCCTGAAAACCACAAGTGGAAATCTCTCTCTGCATTGCAATGGAAAAAGAATGTCTCAGATACTGGAGACAATATAAAAAGAGATGCTACTGCACTCATGGACAAGATTTGAGCTACTGATCCTCACTTGCAGAGCATCAAGCAAGTCAAGGTCATAACAACAAGAAGGATAGTTATGACACCCAAAAGATTGCCCTTTCAGGTGAGTGCACTATTGATTGCTGTACAAACTGTCAATTTGCCTCTGTCTCTTTACCTCCAGATATCTAACACTTGATTTGCACACTTGTTCTGTCTTTGTATTTTTTTTTTAATCAGTCTTCCATGGGCAAGTTACAGTTATTATAACCTTTTCTCATGCACTTAAATCTCTCAATCTATTTGATACCAAAAATGGAAACCACTAGTTACTGAAAAGAGCCTAGTTCTTTCTATATAACTGTACTTGATTCTCTCTTCCTCTCTTATTTATTTGATTTAGATCCCATCTTTCATTCAGGGGCTCAAGGTGATATACATACTGTAGTGTTCCCACTCCTAATTTTCCCACAACAACAGTCCTGTGAGGGAGGTTGGGATGAGATAGATAGATAGATATATAGATAGATAGATGATAGATAGGTAGATAGACAGATAGACAGACAGACAGACAGAGGCCCAAAATTATCCCATGAGCTTCCATGTTGGTGGATTGCAATCTGGGTTTCCATATTCTTAGCAACTTAGTACACTTTAACTACAACACCACACTGGCTGTCTTATACAATTCTCGATACCCTCCAAAGACAATTATTTGCATGAAAAGAATCAATACATTAATATGTTTCAGTTAATCCTGAGCCCTAGGGCCCCTCATTTTGGAAATTAATCACTGCTTCCTATCAACTATTTAAATATTTGAGTCCTAAACGCCAAAGTTAAAATCATGCAAACTACTAAGGATGGACATTTTTTGCACAAGAGATGACACTTTGTGCTTACCTATGACTGGATTCTTTTGCAGATCAGGCTGCTGCTACTGATGCTTGCAGTGGGGAATTTAGCCCATGGAGGAAACACTTATAAAACCAAGAAGAAGCGCAGTGAAAGAATGACTGACTACAACTGCCCAACTCAGCCAGGAATCCAAGAGGATGCCAAATTCCCAGAGACAGTGAAGGTACACATACATGTTGCTCATACAGAACCAATCAGAAGGATGCCTCATGATGTCAGAAACAGATCTCTCTCTCCATGGGATTACAGGTACTATTCACCTTCTTACTGTTAAACTATATTGGCTATGATATAGTATGGAAGTGACAATCCCACAATGCCTTTTGAGTACTTCAAAAATTCTAAGATGCAAGAACTGCTAACGGCTGCGAGGTCTTATGGGGTTAGCAAATGTAAAAGCTATACACATTTACTGAAACAACAGACTGGATGATTCATAACTGGATAGGCAAATGTCACTTGAATTTTTCATTAGTCCATTAGATCCTTGATGATCACCCCTATTGTTTTGCAAGAATGTAATAGGGCTTTGTGAACATGACTTTCAGCCAGTTGGCCAGTTCAAGTCTTTGCATGCGTATTCATTACAATAAAAGTAACCTAGGAGAATTTCCTTTATTTAAATCCACTAAATGAGATGCGAATGGTCTTTCTTCAGGATAGGTCCGCATAGGGAATTGACCCGTTGACAGATTCTCGAGTAGCCTAGTGATAATGCTAAGCAACAAATTCAAGCACTTTCTTTCAAGGCAAAATCTCTCTTTCTTGTCAACAAAGGGAGTCTATGAAAATCAGATATGACGTCTGAGTAAAAGGAAATGTAGTATTAATTGATAAGGAGACCAAACAGCCTTTTCTGTTTCTTTTGGTTCAGGTCCATAACCAAAATATTATTCCATGGTGAAGAGAACTAGGAAATTCTGACAGACATTCACTATGAATGAATCTAATTTATATTTTATTATGTGATTAAGGAAGCCTGTGTGACATGGTTCTGTCTCCTCAGACACAAAAATAAGACTCCTCTCATGGGTAGGCAGCCACTGCTTCCATCTATTTTTTTCCTTATGGGTGCTCATTAGCTTTCAGGGTTTCAAATCCGTGAATTTTGATGAAGAAACTGTTTTGCTATCACATGAATCACATCTTTCTCTGTCTTTTGTGTGTTAACTTACAGTGTTAAGGAAGATCCTAACAGATTCCCACACTTAATTTCTGAAGCCAGCTGCCGCCATACCGTTTGCCTGGATTCCACGGGGAATAGCCTAAACTACGCTATGAACTCTGTTCCTATCCAGCAGGAGATCCTGGTTCTCAAACGCAAACATGTTGGTTGCAAGCAAACCTATTGGTTGGAGAAACAGGTGGTCACTGTTGGCTGTACCTGTGCCTTTCCTGCTTCCACTGCCTATCAGAAAAAGATTCTCTAATGTAGCTGAAAAATGGCCAAAGGTGTCACACAATCCACCATCAGCTGAAGCAATCAGGATAAGACAGCATTTGCTTGGCTAATTGGAAAGGAAATGCTAGCTTTGAATTTCACAGAAATATGGCCACCTTTAGAATTAGAGATGATTTCATTCAGATCTGTTATAGTGTCTCAAAATACTTAAAAGTTCTGGGAGCATACTGAATGGAAGAATGGCCACTTTCCTTAATAGGGAGGGGGGAGTTTTCCGATGTCTACCATTCAGCCACAAAGACAGGAAAAAAACAAGAAAGAAAGAAACCTCTTCATTGAAAGCCCTGCTTCTCTTCAGCTTCAAAAAGAATGAAGTCTTGCTCTGAACGAATTTGGTATCATTCATAACCTGTTTTTTATTTGTCTTGTTGATCTACATGGATGTCCTGAAAGTAGAGTCCTTGGGGTGCTCTGAACTTGGTTGTTTGGAGAACCCCAAGCACTCTACAGTTCAGTCCTGAGCTACATATATTCTTTTTTATTGTCCTGAAAGTTGCAATGCATATGGTATTTGACACTCAAGGAGGAGCAAAGAGGAATATGCTTATGTATCTATTTATAAGATGTATTTATAACACCCATATTTATGCATTTGCAGAAGCATTGTTGGATAAAATTTTGTAGTTTATTGGTATTTATTCAGTAATTTATGTAATAAATAAAAGGTTGAAATATTTAATTCTCCACATAGTCAATTTTTCCCCAAATATCCATTTTGTTTTCTTAGACATGAACACCATTCTATTTCATATTTAGAAAAGCTGCTCTGAGTCCATGGGATAGAATGCTAAACCAGGAGCAGACATATATCTTAATATGGATGAAAATGTGAGTCCTCCACCTGCCATGATCTTTTTGAAGGGAAACATAAATGACTTTGGCCACCTGGGAGCATTTGCCAGACCAGGAATGAACCCCTTTAGGTGCTTGATTCCTTCTTCCCTCCCATCATGGCCAAAAAAATATCAAAAATGATATAACATCAATTTCTTTTAAAAAAGAAAGAAAGAAAACCATACCACAACATAATTAACCTGTTCCAGAAAATATCCAAGTATGGAACTATTTGCAGGCACTTACCTGCTCAATGTCTGTTAGGCAACAAGGAGCTACTGCAGAGTGGGAAGGACTAATTGGAGAGCAGAGCTCAGTCTCAGATATGCCTTGAAGGTGTCTTGGCAAACTTTGTCCTAGAAGCAAAGGGCCGTTCCTTCCCAAAGTTCAGCTTGGCCGGGTGTAGTTGGTGATCTTGATCATGCTAGATTTCTGCTTGTACAAGGTAATGGGTTCAACTTCCATACTGGCACAGTTTCTTAAGGATCCTATTCCTTATTCTGGTCTTTCTAAGGGACACAGCTAATAGTGCCTGACCCCCGTTTCAAGATAGCTGAGCATCTGCTTCAATGGCAACATCTCACTTTAGATCTGACTCTGTCTAAGTGGTCAATTCAGTCCCCAGTCTAGTGCATCTCCAGACTTGGTTTGCTTTTCTATCATTTTTGGCAAACTGATGAGACTATTGTTTTCAGTAAATCTGCATATGTTGTGCAGAAATGCTGGGTATGGTCTAATAAAATAGAAAAATGAAGACCCCTGAAAGCTCTAGCAATATTTATTGCAAAGACTACATCCATGGAATTATTGGAAAGAGGCTTCTGGAATAGTCACACTTCGTACTCCTTCCTTCTTACTTGCTTCTATGGTTTGGGATTGGAAGCACTGTTGTAGAGTGTTTCTGATCCTTCCTCAGTGGGCTGTTTCAGTCCTAGGGGGGCAATGAGATATCAGCCTGGTGGCCCTGATATGTGGGGTGCCATAAAGATCAGTCCTCTCTCCCCTGTTCTTTAATATCTATAGGAAACCATTGGGAAAGGACATCTGACATTTTGAGGTGGGGTATCACCAGTATGCTCATGATATCCAATGTTATATCGCCATCCCAGGCTGAAAGGAAGATTCTGCAAACATTCTAGCCCATGTGAGATGGAGCTGCTGTTTATACATCAGGATTCTCTACTGACATCTGTGTTATCTCTGGATGAGCAAGAGCTCCCTGTGAAGAAGTAGATTCATGATTTTGGGATCCTTCTAGATTCCTGGCTCCTGCTTGAACAATAGGTGGAAGCTGCAGCTAGAGGAGCCGTTGTCTACCTTTGGCTGGTGTGCCAATTGCAGCCTTATCTGGTGCAGGAGGACCTGGCTACAGTAATTCACACTCTCATTACTGGCCAGTTAGATGACTGCAACTCGCTTAACATGGGGCTGCCCTTAAAACTATTCAGAAACTACAATTGGTCCAGAATACAACAGCCTGCATATTAACTGGCTCTCAGAGCTGGGAGCATCTAACACTGATTCTGCAAGCCCTGTGCTGATTGCCAGTTGGTTTCTGGGTGCAATTGAAAGTTGACCTGTAAAGCTGTTATGGTTTGGCACTAGAGTACTTGCAGGACTGCCTGCTCTAGCCAGAATTGGCCTAACCCATTAGGTCTTCCAAGGGGAAACTACTTATAGTCTGAAGGGGGCCAAGGCTACAGTAGAAGGTGGTGCTTCTCTGTGGCAGTGCTGGTACTTTGGAATAGACTCCTAGGGGGGACCAAGCTGGCCCCTCCTTCATAGCTTTTACACAGATGTTAAGAACAGAGCTATTTTGGAATGTGTTCCAATGATGTTGTGTCCCACTCATATTGTATTGTTTTATTTTTATTTTTGTTTTCAGTTTGTTGTTTGTGCTGTTGTTTCAGTTGAAAGAGTGTTGTTAGTTGTTTCATTTTAACCATTCCATGGATGCTTTACATGTTTGATGTTTATTTTTATTATACATCATGGGAGCCACCAAGAATTGCTATATGAGCAAACTCAGGGAGGCAGTGAAGGACAGGAAGGCCTGGCGCAATATGGTTCATGGGGTCACGAAGAGTCGGACACGACTTAACGACTAAACAACAACAAAAGAAGTTTATGGTCAGAGACCAGCTCTTTCAATTCACTACAGGTCCTGATTCAATTATTCTTCTGGCCCACACCAGCAGAATTAGTTATAACTCACCCTCCGTCAAGAGACCTTATTTTAAAATCAGCTTTCAAAAAAGAAAAGGTTGCCTCAAACAGATCTGACCTAGGACTTATTCCTGAAAAGTCAAAAACAGGAACTGGCTTCTGGAGTTTTTTAGTTATTAAATTGCAGCAAAGTGTTTGGCTCGAAGTTACATTGAAATTAATGTGAAATTAATCCTAGCAAAGTGGACTGTACTGCTAACAGAAGTCTGGAGATGGGAGAGGAATAAAGCTTTCTTCCAGTGGGAAATTGTACTGAGAAGTAAAGCAGGAAGGGGAGTACAAGAAAGACCTAGGGATGTAAAGTTTTCATTAGGCCTATCATAACTAAGCTGCAAAAATCCAGATGAGCCCTTCTGCTGCCATAACACCTTCTCCTCAGCCCCAAGAGAGTGACTGGTGGCAGTTTTTCCTGTGAGCTGGTGATATTTGGTGGGAGGGCAAATGAAAAAGATTTTAAAGATGGGTAGCCCTGTACCAGTTTCTAGGAAATCTGGCCCACACCTATAATGTTTTAACCATCCTTTACCAGCAATCCCATTCTGATTAAAATTTTAAAACAGGTGTTTATTTATGTATATTTCCATGTCAAATTATAAGAGAATATGGCCTCTTGATCAAACTGGGGTGAAATATCTCTGACTTTGCACCTAACGGATCTAGAAAAGTTAAGCAGGGTTTGACCTGGTTGATACCTGGAGAAAAGACCACTATGAGACCTCAGGGTTGTTAGGCTAGACCAGGAAGTAGAAAAAATATCCCCAAAGGCAGTGATAGCAGACCACTTTATGGGCTACTTGATCATGACCATGAAGTTCACAATGTCACCAGGAGTTAACCTTGACTCAAAGGACATTTTACCTTTACCTATTATCCCTTGGGCAACAATAAGCAGATAGTACTAGTTTCTGAGCTGGGTGGCCTTTGCGCAGCCCTGACTATCAGCATGAGTCTCGCTTCTTTCTTCCCTCATTTATTTGGATATATTTCTTTTGTGTTATTTGTTTAAAACCTTACTTTGATATTCTTGGGACTAGGTCTGCCAATTCACACTGGAACTACAGATTTATAGTAGGCTCAAAACCCTTGCCAGGGATCTGTTGCTTGGTATCTTACCATGTTTTTGTTCTGTTGATTTTGTTGAGTGAAGACTCATTTCATTTCACTTATATGTGAAAAGCCACAAACAGCTTCTTGAGCTCCTTCCAAGAATGTCACCTGTGAGAGCTGAGCACTAACCAAGAGCTTCAGAACACTTTGGTTTTGAGTGTTTTGTTCTATCCCCAAACCCTCGAAATAAGTGCCCACTTGATCTTCTACCCCTCCTACATGTCTGCCAAGCACTGTGGTTGAAATGCTTAGTCAACCTGTCCTACATTTTATACTACTGAAAACCCCTTTTGGGTATAGGAGGGAGCAGAATGGCCACTGACACAAAGATCTGTTTGGGTGACTCTTCATCTTTGCTAATAACTAGGCAAGGGGAAAACCTTGTTAGAGGGGCCAAGGGATAGCACCAAACTTCCCTGCCATGCCCAATTTTTTGCATTATTTCTCTTCCTCTGTGCAAGGTACAGTGAATTTCACTGCAGGATTCTTAAACTAGGTCTTCTCTGCCCTATCTCACCAGTACTTGCAAAGCTCCACATGGCTCTTCAGTGTTGTCCTAGCAAGCCACCTTCATAGCAAGTTCCAATTGTTTCCATTGTCCATACCCTTAGCGGTGAGGAAGTATGTGGTGCATTTTGATAACCTCTCTTCTAATCTCTCTTAAAAAACAAGCCTCTTGCCCCTGAAGCAGGGCCACGTGGAATTCACAGTAATTGCCAAGGTGGGTATATGAGAGTGACTTATATCCAAATGGTTGGGATTACTATTAAGATTCTTATTACATACACATGGCCTTTAAAC